AGTATTTTCTTATTTTGATGTTTTGAGCTCTTTTGTGTTTAGAACAATATATACTAATTTTTAAAGTGTCAAATTGAATTTTTGTTCAACAAAAAATCTTTCAAATGCGACTTTAGCTTCCCCCCCCCCAAAAAAAAACTTTGTCTTCAAAATAAGGGTGCGTTTTATACACCCCGGTGCATCTTATATTCCAAAAAAATACAGTATATGGCTATCAAATCCTGAGAAAAATTAATTTAACTGAGACATAAGACTCCATTATGGGACCACTTCTATGTTTTAAATTCTAGCCAATACATCCATACACTGATATGCAGACTTGTATTACATACTGAAATGATCTGCCACAATATGGAACACTTAAATATTTACACTTACAGCATCAACACACTTTCAAGCTCAAGTTTGTGAGGATGCATTCTCGGAAAAGGTCCACAGCTGTATTTAAATCCATCTCCTTGTCATAATGGATGTGAATGTTTGAAAGAGCAAATAAATGTTCCTCCTGCATACTGGTCCAGTTGAATGTGTGCAGTCTTTGTAGTGAACTGATTGATCTCTCACACTCGCACAAATGTGACAGGAAAGATGCTTGCAATGCATGTATGTTGGGAAGTGGTCTTCTTGCAGTGTGTGATAGCCATGGTGTTTCTGTTTGTTGTTTTTGCAAGAAGGAGACATCCACTTCCCTTTTCATCTGAACCAGCTCCTGCTTATTGAGCTTTGGTGAGGGCAGATCATTCCAGTATATAGTTACCAATGATGAAACGTCAATTGTTTGTTCACATAGAACAGAGGGCACCAGGCCCAGAATACTGGTGCATGTATGGACTTAATCCTACAAAGAAATGAACAGTAAAGCACATTTAATGGTTTGTGCAATAATGATACATAAAGTTAACAAGTATTAATTATAAAATACAACATCATTCATTAATAATCCTTACATATCAAGAGGAAACTGTAGTGAATATTGGTGACTAAAGAGCATATTTATTTTTATAATTTATACACAAAAATATGACAGAAATTGACATAACTTAAATTTACCAACATTAAATTGTGTGACGAATAGTTATGTTAATAGGTTATAACTTATTTATAGATATGATATTGATTTGCTTGACTGACCAGAGAATCTTGCCTCAAAATTGGTAATGATGTGGTCCACAAAAGGCGGTGCAATTTTTAAATGCAATAGTGATCTTTAATGGATGAAGCAGAACAGGTGGCTCTGTCTTGTTGCCATCCATATGAGATTCTCAGCTGACTAGGCCAAACATTGACACACTCTGCCATATGAAATGCATAATCATACACATGGTCAAACATTTTATCTAAGTTTTTGCATATTTCAGTGTTTGTGGCTTTTACTTCATTGACATGAATGATATAGATCTTTCAGCATGAAAAAGGATCTTTCAATGAGTTAAGCAGTATATTTGTATGATTATCAATACTTTTACTCAGACTCAATTTATGTCATCATTAAAATATTATTTACTACCGTAAATAATGCCACAAAATGGATATAAATATACATGCAAAGACACCTTCATATATACACAGATACAGATTAACACTTTATAAACATCAACACATACAAATGATGCATAAATTATATATATATATATATATATATATATATTGATATCTGTAAAACATCAGTGATTTTAAACATGAGACTTACCATGCCATAGGCGTACGTGATGTATATGGAAGATTTCTGAAGTCCAACATGATTCCTTCCATCTGAGATAAATGTTATACACAATAAGGAAGGTGACTAAAAAGCCAAATGATATCACAGAAGCTTTGTATCCTACTTCATATGTGGGAAGTTTTTATTGTAGTCATTGCTGTGCAAACCATAAGCAATATATTTGGGGGCCTTCAAACCCCCAGTGGCTACAGGCCCGCTTTGCCTACAAGTAGTATATGCAGATGCATCTTCCAGGACTGACATACTGCATGATGAGCTTATAAAAATCAAAATTTTGGCTGTTTAGGGATACTTCATGTAAAAAATTGTGGTAAAGCTCTGTGTTCCAGTAGGATGTGCAAGACACTGAAGAGGACCGTGAAACTGGAATTATTGATAATAGAAGTGGACAAGGTAGATAACCTAAATTCTTGAGATATGATTGAATTATCTCAGTATATTTTCTGTACGAGTTATATGTTAGTAAATTAGAGATATTTTTGTAAATACAGGTGTGAATATTACTTTGAGTGAATGTGTATTTCCAGGAAAGGTGGAGATGTGTGCTGTTTATAGATTAATCCAGATTTGAAATTTTTTGAAACAGTCATTGACAGTATAGAGGGGAATGGTATTATATTCAATATACAACATCTATAGTAAAGCATAGTGGTGGATAAATACAAATGTAGGGCTTCATCTCAACCAACAATGGTGGCAGTCTACACAGAATTGATGATGCCTTTACTTCTGACAAGTACAAGCAGAAATTCATCTTCTAGCAAAACTCCAAAGCATACAAAACGAAAAACGTTGATATGATATCTTGACGGTACAGAGGCCAATGGAACACTCCCAATAATGGTTTGGCATGCACAAAATCCTTATATAAGCATTTTGAAAGTTGTATGAGTTTATGAAACTATGAAAAGGTAAAAAGGTGACCAAACAACTTGATCAGGGGTGGGCAAAATATAGCCCATTAAACATTTCATCTTGCTTGTCATGACTCCTGGCAATTGTGGAAAGAACATAATGGGGTCTTTATACAATCGATGTTGAGGTATTTAATTAATATAGTAGAAATGTGTAGCCTGTGACAACTTACCAAAATTTGTTGAATGCCCCCACCCCCTCACTCTTGAACTAGCTGAATTGTGGGGAGGAATACAGAACATTGGAAGAATACTTTATCATTCATACGTAAACTATATGCCAAAATGAAAACATGATGTAATGTTCTGTATAAAACAAAGAGCTTACATACAAATACTTATGTACCAGACAACTTTTTTTTTTTCACCTTCTTCTTGCCATTACCCATTATTTGTGACCTTTCCATGTGTATGGTATTCAGTTAATCGATTTTCCAAAAGAGTAAATTAGATAGATGAACTATATAAAAGGATATATTGCAGAGTAATACAGAGTTCCACTAAAACTCAGTCTGTGTTAAGAAATGAATGAACTGGACACAAAATGTTGTAATCACTGAAAAAAGCATGTGTATTTCACCTTATGGAAAATGAACAGTTGACTTTTACTGGAGCTGTGAATTGATCAAGCTGGTTATACTCCCTCAAGATTTGTTTCTAAGTGAACTTTCTCACTCATAATGATTGATTGGTAGCATAAGACTTACCCAAGGAAACTAGCACTAGATAGTTACAACTTGGAAAGAGTAGAACCCAACACTGAATTGGTATGAAAAATTTAGAAAATAGTTGAATAGTGTCATGTACCTACAGTAAAAAAGGTCTACATAGGTAGTACAATATAACTGAACAAAAAGTTACTTGTCAAAAATAAACAGCAGCAAAAGGAAAACTAAATTTATTTTGGACCTAGTCCGTCATTGGGTAGTGCTTAACATTCTTATAAAAAAAAACTAAATGAGAAACAAACTAGAATGGCAGTATCAGAGTGAAGAAATAGAATCTATACTTTGCACAATGTGTGCATTTTGTGTGGAAAAACATTTTGTAGGCAAAATATACAATACAGTGAAATACAGATAAATGACACATAATAAATTAATAAAATAAATGTGAGGGAATGAAAAAGTACCTCAGTGCAGTTCAAAGTAAGGGGTTGAAAATAAAAATACTTTTTTTTTTTTTTAAGGATTAGACTTTTGGAAATTATTTGTATCATTTAACTTTTAATAATTTCCATCTGGTAATCATTTTTAATTCAGTATTATCATATGCACATTATAGATTTTTTAAATTTTATTTCATATTTACTAGACATATCTTAATAAATGTGTTTGATACCTTATTTACATTTGATTTAATATTACTACTATTGATATTTAACAGCTTGAGAATATATTGTGAAGCTAAGGCTACTCTTTTGATTTGAGAAATTGTTTTCCACCAATGATGTTGATTTACAGAAAACTCATTTTCAATATATATATGCATAACTGAAACTTACTTATTTTTTTGATAACTTATTGTGAACATTTTCAGGAATGTACAAACTACCCTGGATTCATGACAAAGTTTCGTGGGGCTACACAAACTTCAGACTCTGCCACAGACCATGTAGATTATGAAAACTACAGGCATGTTTGTCATAAATGGCATTTTAAAATCACCAAGGTTTGTGAATTGCATCTTATATATAATATATTGTTGATTAATATAGGTGTAAATTTAACTTCCATCTTGGATCAGTTATTTGCATTTTGGAAATTAGATGTGATTTTTAATTGCAACTTTTGGAAATCTTATTTTATTGTAATTTTTAAGCAAGATAAAAACAGTTTGTATCAGTAAACCTTTTATAACTATCTGATAATAATTTTTTTACATTCATTATTTTCATGTGCATTATATATTTTTTAAATCTTTGTCATACTTACTAGATTCATGCAAATGTATGATACATTATTTACATTTGATTCAGTACTGTTGATATTTAACAGCTTGAGAATATATTGTGAAGCTAAGGCTACTCTTTTGATTTGAGAAATTGTTTTCCACTGATGAAGTTCATTGTTGAACTGTGAAAACTCATTTTCAATAAAATTTGCTCTTTTGTATCCTAATATAATTCAAAGAAGCTCCCACAGCAATTAATTATTCCAGTTGCAAACTAATTACAGTTATAAAAACAGTAAGTAAAAACATAAGCTTTCATAAGTCTTTAACAAATTACAACAATGCCTTATGTGAACCATTCTTGTGATATACATTGTAATACCTTGAAAGATGTAAGATGTCAAAAAGAAAGCTGACATGACATCTTAAAAATGTTTGTGGTTTTATAGAATTTGTAATTGTTAAATAAACTTAAAATTTAATCAGACATTTGTAGATTTTGTTTCATTGCAAATTTTATAACCAAGTTATTGGTATTAGTTATTAACCCTTTCAAGATGGGTCACAGGTGAAAGGCCATGTCATTTCGTTTGTTGACTCGCCTTCAAAATTTTATTGAACTACTATTTCATGAATTTATGTCAGTAATTTTGGTATCAAACTGTAGATTATATTATATTAGAACTATACATTACTCAATTTGTTAGTTTAAAAGTAAATATTAAAAACATAGATAAACATTAATTTTTGTGTGTCACGTGGTATGTTGAATGCAGCATTGGTTCAAATTAGATGTTTGTAAAGTCAAAATACTAAGTCTATAGTTTCCTACAAATTAGAAACTCAAATTAAAGATATTGCCAAGCTAGAATATAAAATAAGAAGGCCTTATCTTTTCTATTTGCTAAGATATTGCTTGTGTAATAAATCAAACACAGAGGTGCTCTGCTCACCTCTTTCCATTTATGGAAATGCTCCATAAGCTCAAGTAGATGAAGGAAGATTCAAAACATTAAACATTTTTGATTCCTCTTCATAAGCACAAACAACATCACTCTTAAAGTAACTGCAATTTTATAATCTATGTATCACTTGGAGGTATAACATTGTTTTTGAAAAGATATAATTAGCAGATAGTGAACAGTTGTGCAACTGTAGTATGCAGGCAAACCATGCATTTTATTTTATTTCTTCTAGGTTTTCACATAGCACATGGACAAGAAAGTTGTTAAGTTGCTTTTGTTGTAGATACCTTTGTTCTTTGTCATTACCTTGATGATAACAACTGGTCTGCCCATGTTGGTATAGCTGTACCACTGCACCTTGGGCATGAAGATATATAGCAGTTTCTTTCAATGATATGTCAGGTGATATCTTGAGGTTACAGCCTCTCTTATGATTGAATGGGACTGGCCAATCTTGTGGATAGCATTAGTTGTTTTGAGTAAATCTAATGTTAACAAAACTCACTAAATAACCTGAGATTTAGTTAGTCTGGAACATTATATTGAGCGAGTTGTTCAGGCTCGAAATATGTCTCAAGTGTAATGGCAATAAAGGCAACCTTCCATCATCCATAAGGTGTGGTATGAACACTAAAGAGTGTTTTCAGTGTGAATCACATTTTTGTGTCCAGTTTATATGTATTTTAACATAGAATAAGTTTTTTTTTATAGTAAAACTCAGTTTTATTTTGCAATATATCTTGCTAAACCTCCTCTTATATAGCACACCTACATCATTTACTTTTTTGGGAAATCAGTTTAACTGAAAATACCACACAACTGTAAGAGAGATTTCATTTGTGTAGTTACAGAAACTGTTACTTGCATCCAGTAGAATTCAAGGGCTGTTTACCTCTAATCTTAAATATGTATTAAATATTGTTTCTGGCTTTCATATTTTTGTACCTAAACTGATACAGATCCATCTAATATTAGAAAATCTAGGAAACTATTGTTACCCCTAGACATACACTGTATATTTGAAAGTAAAATGAATACTTAGACACTAGTTGTAATAAGTCATTGGATTCATCATGCATTTATATATGTAAAAAAAAAGATAATGAATGTTTTTGTTCACATAAAAGTTTAGTGAAATTCTATCTGTGCTTTTCTGTTTTTATGTCATGTATCCTTTTATATTAACACCACAAATAAAATGCTGATACCCTATACCCCAAGCACTTTCAAAAGGTGGGCATGTTATCTTTTTTAATTATATCAGTTAGACTTTTTTTGTTAAAACTGTTTTTAAATTTCACTTTTATTTTACTTTATCAACATTCAGTGGAGTTTCTTTTGATCAATTTTTGAAAGCTGCTAAAAACACTTCTGGATTTCCATAGTGGTTTTCATAACATCACTTAAACTTTATTTCACACTTTGATTTAAACAGTTATTCCTAGTTTGCCCCTGAAGAAAAAAGGTCCACCTGTTGAAAGTGCTCGGTTTATGGGGTATCATACTTTTGTACTAAATTGCTTTCTAACATCATGAATAAAAAGCTTGTATATGTGGATCTAGGTTGTACATACATGCTATAGTTTAGGCTTACAACTTGAGTAGGAATGTGTTGTTACATCGTGTAATTAAGTAATGAAAATGAATGTTCTAGTTAAAATAATTTAAAAAAACTATATTTCAGTAAATTCCCTGTATAAATAACAGCGTTACACAAAAATAAAGATTTTTAATGGTACTTTATAACATTAATGATAAAAATCTGCACTACTCATAGAACATTATAGTTATTTCCTGGTATAGAAGTGGGTAATATTTGTAGTTATTTATTCTTTCTCAACAGTTCTTTAGCTGTTCCTATTGACACGGTGTCTTGTGTTAGTATTGAGTATTGTGTTTGACAGTGGCTGGTGTATTGAATTTTATTAGATAGACAGCACCTTTAGATTCTTTGAAAAAGTGTTATTGGTATGTGCAAAATTGTCCTATGTGCAAAGCTCCATATGAACACTTGAGATTTTATAAGCAAGTTTTGTTTTCACATTAAAAGGTTAAATGTGTTAAGATATTTCATAGTCTTTACAGCTTTAAATACAAATTTAACTATAAAATATTCTGCATATCATCTGTGTAAGTTATTTTTGAAATAAATGGCATTGTAGTTCTGCTGATGTTTTTGTTGTTGTTGGAAATTTGTGTGGTTTTGTAGGCTTCTCTGATTTTGTGGTTTCACCATCCTTTGTTTCTGAGAATTATTTATATGTTTTATTTATGAGTTTATAATTTTTTTACTTATCTTTTATCAAAACAGGAATCAATACTTCTTTTAAGAGTGGTTTGACTTTAAGTTCAATTGTCTTTAGATACTTGTGGCAAGTTTTAATTTTTCTATTCAATCAGAACATCGAAGGAAGTGATAGAATGGTTATTTTATAGCAGAATGGTGATTTTTATTTTATTTTTTGTTGTTGTTATTTCTGAAATTAAGATGTGAGATGAATTTCTTGTTATATTCAGAACCATGTAGCCAGGCAGACAAGCATCATCAACATATTTCCACAAATTTGGTTATTTTGCAACTATGTTTAAGGTTAGATTTTCGTCACATCACCAGTTCACCTGATAAATTGTCCATTTTCGTAACTTGTAGCATTATATGCATTTACATCTCTGAATTGGTAAGAAAAATATTAGTCATTTGAAAGTTTAACAGTTTGAAATGGTTTTGTGTGCTTATTGAAAATATTATGAAAAATTTATATTACTAAAAAAAGAGTAGACTATCTTATTAAATGGTGAATTTATTTCATTGTTACAGGCTTTGGTGATATGTCTGGAGTCTGGTGACTATATTCAAATAAGAAATAGTTTGATTATATTGACTAAGGTAAGAATTTTAATTGACATTATTGACGACAACAACAACAATTAAATAAAACCATTAGACAAGCCACATTGGTAGAAATACCTTTAACATAATTAAAATTGCATATGCCTTTAGTCAATTGAAATTAAGGTTTGATGCTTTTTAACAGTTTTATTTGTATGTGTGTGTGTATTTTGTATAATTTAAAGCCACTATTTAACAATTACAGTTCAAATATTTTATTTAGTTTTATATAATATTTGGCCTGGTGTGGCCAGGTGGTTAGGGCGCTCGACTCGCAATGTGAGGGTCGCGGGTTCGAATCCCTGTCCCACCAAACATGCTCGCCCTTTCAGTTGTGGAGGCATTATAATGTGATGGTTAATACCACTATTCGTTGGTAAAAGAGTAGCCCAAGAGTTGATGGTGGGTGGTGATGACCAGCTGCCTTCCCTCTAGTCTTACACTGCTAAATTAGGAACGGCTAGCACAGATAGCCCTCGTGTAGCTTTGTGCGAAATCCAAAACAAACAAAAAAACAAAACATATAATATTCATTGTGAGATAGATTTTAATATATTATTAAACTATATTAAAAGCACAATTAACCATAACACAACTCATGAGCACCTTTTAGGTGTCAGTTTCACAACTGCTTATCATATTTCAAAATTTGATTAAAATGTATAATTCTAACTTTGTTTTAACAATTTTTAACTCAAAAATATTTTAGAATTGATATTCTGAAACACTTATTTAATTCATAAAGACATATGGACAAAGTTTGAATTTTACATTGTGGAGCCTGAAAGTTTAAATAAAATTCAATAACCTAAATTACAAATAAAAGTACAGTATTGCTTTGCTGAATGCTTAATTTCAGCTTCTTTTGAAGAATTAGAAGAGTCTACTTCACCCATAGAAAAGCTTTATTTTTGGCTTCACTGATTACTTTGAACGTACTGGGGTATGAGACCACATCACATTTACTTAGTGTATGATAAACAATGCTTGAACTGTCTTTGTAACTAAGAACAGAGTTGTCTTTTAAGCTATCTCCCAGTCTTCTAACAATTAACCCAAAGTAAGTGACCCCACATATTGGGCAACAAAATTAATGACCAATGACTGTTGAAAAAAACCAGACTAAATCGTTAAACTTGAAAAAAAGTCTGAATTCTTAGTTAAAGTTTAAACATACATTGAAGATAAAGTTGTAGATAGATTCTATTGATTATGATGTTTAGTTTATTTTTCAAGATTCATGATTGTGAGAATGTATATGATAGAGAGACCATTACTTGTAGCTTCAGGACATCAAAGTTCAGTGACCAGGATAAATTGGTTGTTGAACAATTTTATTGATTGTAAATCTATAAAGTTGTTGGAGAAGGAGTTAAGTTTTAAAACAGATTTTAGTCTGAGTATCTCTTCCCATGGAAGTTCACAGGTGCGGGTGATTCAGTGTGCTTAGGACATAAGACATTTTCCAAGGTTTGTTTTTAAATGAAGTGCAACAAAATTGTCAAAATGGGTGTATAGTCTGGTGTAGGAAGGTTTCTGGTAACAGTCGACATCAAAATGTCCTTGTTTGTTGATCACATGTGTCAAGAGAAAGTATAGTAGAGCATTGTTGGCATTGACAGATGAACTTGATATTAAAGTATCTTGAATTCAAATATTCTACAAGCTCATAAAATTCATCATTAATGGAAAAAGGAAGTTTTTTGTGACAAATTCCATCAGTTGTCTGAAAGATTATCTATTTAGTCCAGTAATACATTTTTTGACTTTGAAAACAAAATTAACTCAAAAGTTAATAGTCTCATCTAGGAGTAGGTTAGTGAACAGAGATTCAATATCTAGACTGCCCAAATAAATATCTTCATCAAACCTTAAGTTTTTAACATTATTAGAAAAATCAAAGCTGTCTTTCACTGTGCAAATTCAGTTAAAAGTAAACAAAATAATTTGTACAGTTTTTAATTAAAGCAACCTATATAGGAAACAATAAATCTAATGAGGCAATCAGATTTGTGAATCTTAGGTAGCCCATAAAGTGTGCCTGTGTGGGAACTGACTGGTCTAGAATCCATTTAAGTATTATTGTTCAGTGCATTAGTTTTCTTCAAGCTTAGCAAGAATTAAGTCTGTTTCTTTTAAAGTAGTAGAGTTTTTCAATAGTTTAGAAAACTTGGTAGTGTTGCTAATTGCTTGTTACTTTGTCAGTATAGTTTGCTTTAATCCTATTGCCACAGGTATCTTTTACTGTGCATTACACAAGGTTTTAGTGTCTTACATTCAAAATTTTATTAAGCTACTTTTTGTTTATGTTATACCAATTAGAATAGCATAAAATCTTAGCTAATAATCCATATTTTAATAGTATATAAGTATTAAGTTCTTAATTTTACAAGGCAATATAAAAAAAAATACCTGAATTTCCACTAGTGTGATCCACATGATCAATTTTCTCTTAGCATGTCATCTTCCCTATTTTATCAACCACCCTTCAAAAAAGTACGAAATGTAAATTACTATGTATAGAATCGCAATTGCTCAAATAAACCATAATTTTTGTAGTCTTCAATTTTGTTAGGCTACAGAGCTATCGAATAGAAAATCAGACCCCTCCTGCCATGCCTACCTGTCACACCCTCTCTTTCAGAATTCGTTAATAGTTCTATTTTACTTTAATTATATATTACCTATAACCAATAGAAAGTCAAGGTTTTCATCTATCTAATGATGTATTGTATAACATTATGTTCTGAATGGTTAAATGTCAATTTCACTCAGAGTACCAACATCGTTCCCATGAGAAAGTTAATGACTAGCTTGGACGAATTTGTAATGACTCTTGTCGCATAGTTAGAAAGCCAGAAAACTTTTGAAAGACATCAAAACTTTTTGCATGTTATTAGTTTATATTCTTTGGTGCATTATCTAATTAAATAAAAATTATTTAGTGCATTACTATCATTAGTATAAAAAAATTAGAGTTAACTCTCTTCAACAAATGACAGCAAGAAAGAAAGAAGATTGGTTAAATATTTCATTTCTTGTTTTTCATGTTTATTCTTTATGTCTAATTATAAAAGTAACTAAAATGTAAAAATAGGGATCATTTTAGGTTAGTTAAGATTAAATCAGGTAAAATAATAATATAATAAAAATGTTTCATGAGGCACACATGCGAGCGGCTTCAAGTAGCTCATGGGTAATGTAATTCATTAGCGTAATGTAAACTTATAATGGAGTGGATTGTAGTTAGGCAGTTCAAAGGGCAATAAACAATAAAATTTAATTATAAATAGATGTATACTGTTATGAACTTAGAGCTACTTAAAATAAACGAATGTAGTTTCATGCTACAATTTGAAGTCATGCTAGAAAGACAAAAAGGGTAATTTAGGTTTATTTAGATTTTTTTGGGTGGTTACAAGGTCAGTTGAATTGACCAATTCCGTTTTGAGAAAATAACAGATAAACTATAAAGTTTTACTGAAAAAAAACATTTGAAATGCAATTAGGAGGTTTGAGGGATTACACAAAGGAAAATTGAGATTTTAGAAATGAAGAAAAATATTTTTAATTTTAACATGAAAATTACTTTGCACATGGACTATTCAAAACAAATACTCGATATATTCATGGAGAAATCTATATTTTATTTTATTAAAAGTACTTCACTAAAAAAATATGATTTTTGTATGTGAAAGACTTAAATATTAACTGAAAGAGTGCCAAATTTGGTGAAAATATACACACTGTATTGAAAGTTAGGAGTATTAATTCTATAAAAACTTCAAATGAGTATAAAGAGGTCACGTGGTTGGTCAATTTGACTGAACTCGTGTTGAGAGAATTAATCAAAATCACCACGCTGTTTCCTTTGTCTGGTTTAGTAATGATGATGTTTTCAAGGGAGTTGATAAAAATTGTCCCTGTAATTATATAGAGATTAGTATTACATCAGTTGTAAGAAAGACTGTTAAAAGATGCTTTGCAAAGTGATTTAACGAAGTTTAAAATTTTATTGGATAGTCAACATTGTTTCACTAAGGGAAAATCTTGCCTTACAAATCTTTTGACATTCTTTGAAAAGGTTACTGGTTATGTAGATGAGGGTAAGGGTGTAGATTTGATGTATCTGGATTTTCAGAAAGCATTTGACGAAGTGCCACATAAAAGTTTGTAAAAAAAATATTTATGTAGGTATGGGGGATAAGTTAGCAAATTGGATAGAAGAGTAGTTGTATGGAAGAAAGCAGAGGGTTGTTACAAATGGAGTTCAATCAATGTGGATTAATGTCACAAGTGGGGGTACCTCAGGGCTCAGTCTTAGGACATTTGCTCTTTTTGATTTACATCAATGACATATATGAAGGAATAGTCAATAAATTACT